TGATCTTTCCCTTAAACTCCTGCTCAGACCTTTCACAGCTGTTGCCAGTGATGTAAGGTGAGGCTGGATTACCAGCACCAACTCCTGTCAGATGCTCGTGTTCAAAGATTCCTCCTCCCTGGCTATTAACCAAACGCTGACGTTGATCCTCGCTGGCCAGGTTGCCTCTACCAGCTGCAGGATCAACATCTGGACAGGAATGCATATGGCAGACATGGGTGTGTGCAGTCAGAGAATCCCTGCTGAACAAAAGCTGCTCTGTGGTCCCGATCACAGTTGTTATTTTTTTTTAATGGCACACAGAGCAAGACGCCAACATCCTGACCGCCGTGTCAAACCAAAGTCCACCGCGGAAGTGCAGTAAAGGCAGTTTAGGAATGAACTAGAGGTCGGCATCTGTGTTTAGAGGGATTTGTTTGCTGTGATGGTACAAGTGCTGAAACCGCAATCAATCAGGAGACTGAAGAAACTACTAAAAGAGTCACTGACAGTTTTTTTTTCCCCAAGTTTGTTGCTCTGTACGTTATCAGTGTGCAGGGATCTCCTTAATTTGGTCATTTTGAGCACACAGATCTGGTTGTGAGCAGAGAAGGGCTTTTGCCATCTTCTGTTTAAACCTTCTCTTTATGAGGGGCAGCCTATGAGAAGAAAGTTGGCGTTAATATGGAGAGGAGCGGAAACAGTTTCCAACAGTGGATGAACTGTGGCTCTGTATAAGGTAAATAAGGGTGATTCTGAGCTGTGAATAAGCTTTAGAAAACGTTGGGTCTAATAATCTAAAAAGCCTTCAGTTGATCCAAAATGATGCAGCGTTGGTACTGCCAGAGAAGAGAGAGAGAGAGATCGTATTTCCCCTATACTGGCTTCTCTTCACTGGGTCCCAGTTAAATCTAGAACTGATTTAAAAACCTTTCTCCTTACAACTAAAGTCTTGAATAATCAGTGAAAATAATGTCTTAAACGTTAGTTTGTAAAAGTAAAATGGGAGGCAGGTCCTTCAGCTTTCAGGTCTCCTGTCGAACCAGCTCCCAGTTTGGGATTCAGGAAACGGGCAGCTAAAAACATTCTGGCTGGCTTGGTGGCCCTGAACTATCCCGTAGTTATACCACTACAGGCTCAGACTGCTGCAGGACATCCCATCATCCACTGAGCATTTCTTCTGCATCATTAGTCACTCCTCAGCTGTTCATTTAGCTCTTCAGCATATCATTAATGTTTCTCTTCACTCTCACATGGTGTGTCTCCATAATCTCTAACATGATCTCTGGTAATCCCTGTTTCCCAAACAATACTGGGGAAACAGGGATTGATTCAGAAGACCCGATTTACTGCTGAACTCAAACAAGGAGTACAAAAACTGGAGCCAGGAATCAGAATACAAGGAGTCATCAGGGAAACCGATAATTAACGAGACAACTCCAGATGGCTGCCGGTCCCTGACCCTGATTCCAGTGGATGCTTCTTCCTGTTAAAAGGGAGTTCTTCCTCCCCACTGTCCCCCAGGGCTTTATCATACAGAATCACTTAACCTGAAGTGACTGTTTTTTTTTTTGTGAATCAGCACTATATGAATGAAATTGAATTAATTATTAACATCTTATGGTGGATAAAGTAAATAAATGTAAAAAAATAAATAAACTTGTGGATTAGCTGATAACTATAACAGTTATAAATTGTCTTTACACACAATATGTAAATAGGTATCATATAAAACATATGAGGGCCTTGTTATTACTAATACTTATCACAAGAACCTACAGGTGAAGCTTTGGTAGCTGAGTGATCAGTGATGAACTGAAAGACACATTCATTACCAGGTGGTGAAAAGCTGGCTCAGTTTGTCCAGAAGCCAAGTATGTGAGAGGTCTGGGTGGGCTGGGAAGTGAGACATTAACCTCTTCTTGACCCCACAGGAAGAGGATTTGGACTTTAGGTGAGGAATCTGTGCGAAAGGTGAGAGATCTTTCTCTTTTTAGTCACTTTAAACACACATGAAGCCGCTCTGTGTGGAGGCCAGGACTGTGAAGACGTTCTAGGCTGAAAGAGATGTGGAAAAAAGCACCAAGCTCACTTCACTCAGGTTTCCATCATCATTATCTCTGCCAGCTGCCTACTCTGCATATGGAAGTGATGTCATTATTGTCCATTCAAAAATAAGGCTTCATTCAGAGGGGCTGCATGTTGAGCTTTCTGTTTGTGACTTATAGAAGGTTTGGTCTGTGGAAATATTTACCGAAGTAACCGTATTTTCTTTCTTTAATCTAAACACAGAGCTATAATGCTGCCTATTCATGTCACTGCATGCATAGCTTTAGTTTGGCTGTGTTCTGTCACTGTGGTGCAGCAATTTGAATGATGGATTATATTTACATTAATCAGTCCTTCCATAGTTGCCTGCACGGATGAGGCTCAGTTCCTGTCCATGGTTGTTTTTATGCTGTACGACGGTGCTTTTGTAATCCAAGAGTGACCGGTGTCGTCGTCTACCTGCTATTTTGACAAACCTTCAGGGAAACATCATTCATGCTATAGACACATAAGTAACTGCACTGATGACTGTTCACCCGTTTACATCGCAAAACTGCAGGCACTGTGGAAATAGAGCGACTTAAAGCCTACAGCTGAATGTTTGTCACTATTAAACGATTAGATGTAGTTGAGAGTATTTTTGGAAATGTCACTGATGTTAGTAGGAAAAAAGTTTCTAATCCTAATACATTTATAATTCATAAAAACATCCATCCATATAATTATGGAAAAAAGAAAGTGCACCTCTGTAAGTTCTAATATTTCACATATTAGGACATTAAATATCATGTTGTCCTAAGCAGGTCTTAACTCTTCAGATGAACACTGGGTTATTATTTAAATACATCCTCTCTGCTTCTAAAGAAATTCATGTTGCAGGCAGGTGCTGATAATCAAATGCATTTGATTAACTGATCATCAGTTTGTGTGGGCACCTCTGTGAAAGCAGAGGTTTTGACATTTTGCTCGTCTGGAGCATTCAGGTGCGTGTTAACACAGTGGGAAGGTGAAAAGACATTAGCAGCGATTGTTGGTGAAGTCCATCATTTTATAGTTAGAACAAGTAGTTTCAAGACAGCTGCCAATCTTTACAGGAGTGGA